TGGAAAAAGCCACTTCGAGTCCGCATGGTTCCCTTGTTAGAGTACTGTAGCTCTCCAATAAATTATTTGACAATAGTACCAGTTTAGATACCCACCTTTTGATTACGAACAACAGAAGCTAATTTAAATTTTCAAATTTGACGTATTTGGCAGGTTTTCTTGTACAAGAGGATGCCCTAACCATTCTAATGTTAACCTCTTATGTTTTCTGTATTATCGAACATAAATGGAAAGTGAAGCTTAACTCAGACATGCAGGATGGAAAACTGAACCCGAACATGGACCATACATTTATAGAAACGAAAAGAATTGTGAACCATAAATATGGTTACAGCTCGCGACGCGTATTCTGCAAAGTGTCCTTTGTGTGGTACATCCTTTACGCCTGACAACGATGAAGGATGGAGAAAACACCTCACAGGTGAATGATAGCGTGTATTTATCCAAAACCCAACCAAGTTTTCAGCTGATTCAAAAACATGTCGACCTATGCGGTTTAAATGTTCTCAATAGCTTCAAAGGGTAGAATTCTTCAAAAACTTTTTGGCATGAAATTAATATACAAACAGAGAAAATCGTTATGATATTGTCACTAAAATGGAATCAGAATTGCAAAAATGAATAACAGTGATGAGCGCCACAAATTCAAATTTTTTGCGCGGTGTTCCCAATTCCGAGAAACATCCTAAATCAATTCAATGAAGCAAAAGAGAAAACAACACGTGCAAAAGTTTTTGATGCAGTTTTCGAACACTAGTTATTGTTAGTTTTCTACGAGGTATGGATCACCTCAAATATTAGGAAAATTCTCTTCGTTTATCATTGTGAATCTCTCGTCTTCATTTTGACTCCTCTATAAAGAACTTGCCTTTTCACTTTTGTTAAATTTTAGAAAATCTAATCTTGCATAAGAAGGAATTTGCCTCTAATTAGGAAGTTAGAACTCTTGAGATTACTGATATGTGTTTTCCCATAAGAATGCATTTTCAAAGAATAAGGAGAGACCAAAGCTTAGAAACATGTATTTTTATTTTGCAGCACATAGTAATACGAAATCACGAATGACAGAAAAACCCGTAAGCACTTCTAGAGAAAAGATTACAGTATTCTGCATGCAAAACGTGACACCAAGCTTATGCAAAGAACTTCTTCCTTGACTTGCTTTCACAACTTTTTGCCATTTCAGCGCACTGCACCGGCAATCGGCGACGAAGATCCCTCCAAGAGGGAAAAAGAGCAAGCCTCAGCAGTACGAGATCATTATCCACACCGGCTTAGTCTTGAGCTCTCCTACGGAAAGATGCTACTTGAGCATCTCAATCCTTGTAATCAGAACATGACCTATGTTGACTTCTCGTGTCGCAACCACTTCTTCACTGTCTATGGACTTCAGTAGTATCTTGCATTTCAGTTCACCCTGTAATTAGACTCATCAATAAACATATATCTAAAAGCCAGGATATAAAACGTGATGAATACTCTTACAAAAGAGCAGTTGCTTACCTTTGAGCGTTGAAGATGAGAAAGGAGCAGACAAAGTGAAACGCCCTCATCATCATCGGAAACAAAACGCTCCTTTGACGCATCCAGCTCCTATAAATTGGTACAGATGCCAAAAATGTCAGAAGTGAAAAATCTTAGACATGGTAAGCTGCGTTTGAATGTGTACCGGTGGAAAAGAAAGGTAAGCGACGTGAGAGAGCGCATTCTCTGAAAGTCCCCTGTCCTCATCTTCCGCATCGTCTACAAGGTCACCAACGGATGAGAAGACGTACACCTGCAAAAACTAACATCTTCTCAGAATCCTTTTACAGGGCTTTAATGTGCTTTTTTTCTGAAAGCCTGGCCGACATTACCTTGTTTGTGAAGTGCCCGCAAAAGTCGAACCATATCGTTACTGTCAAGGCTAGCTCATCAAAACGAACATGCACAGGATTTGGAAGCTCTGAAAAAAGGCATGGAAAGGCTGATCAAGTGCTTAATTTTGCAGAACTCCACTTACCATGCATAAGTCTCCAATGTATGGTGTGGTGATCGAATGAAACAGTATGTCCGTCCCAAATTAGAGGGTCCGTTAACGATCTAGGCCTCGTCAAAGTTGACCTCAGTTCAGGCACTTGCACATCGCAAACTTTCTCATCTCCTTCGATGTCTTTAACACAGAAAGTTACTGACGAATTTTTTTTAATAAGTTAATGTTAGGCGACTGCTTCAGCGTCTTCCTGCTCTTGCAAAAATTTCTAGATGTTGTTTGGGATTCGAAAGCTTGAGCCAAACTAGGCCAGATTGGATTCTTATGATTGTAGTCGATAAGCACAAGTAAAGTTTTCGTAATATCATTATTTCGCATAGGTAAAAACTTTGAAATAGTTCTTTAGTGTACGTCAGTATGTTTGATTTCCAATCAAGGGGTTCAGAGAAATAATTCTTACCTCGCAAGGTGTCATTGATCATTTGTATGACAGACACCGGTTGACTCAAATGTGCTTTGAGGTATTTCATGAAGACCCCGTTCACTTCTCCTTTTATCTGGAATATGGATCATTTATCCTAGAAATAGAGCCACAAACTTTGAACCTCATAAGCGCCAACGCCTCCGCTAGTCGAATACCCGTAGACGGTGTTCCTGTTCGGTCGATGCTTTGCTTTGAATGGTTCCGCATATTCCACAAAAGCTGGTATAAGCTCGTACCTGAATTCAATTAGGAATGAAGCTCAATTTAAAAACAGACTATATCTGCTAATCTATAATGTTGATCCATAACTCTTGCATCAAAAACTGCTGAAAATTCACCTAAACAATGCTTCAGTCATTTTCAAAACTTTCGAAACCTGCAAAAATTGGTCTATGTAACGAAAGATCTAGCCATTATGAATTTCTCACTGTTAAAAAAGTAAGTCGCAAGAAAGGTAAAATTAAAATTTTTTGTACCTTCTAGCACTTCCAGTGACCAATCAAAAAAGCATATTTAACTTTTTCTAAATCAACTGTAAAACAGTGACTTTTCGTAGAAAATAGGGTTCTTGTAACGTTTTTGGAAAATCTCTTTCTAAGCTATACTGGACTGAACGACTTTTTCAAAAAATAGATATATAGTTGTGCAGTTGTGTGTGATGAAAAATGTTGATGCCGGATACTATTTGTTTCATATTCTTACCTGCCAGATGCTTGGTTTTGATGGTACTGAAAAGGACCGAAGGTGAACAAATGCAAACTTACGGAATAAACTTTCTGCAAACATCTAGCAGCAACAGATTCAGCGCAGGATTGTGGTCACTCAGCTCACTGAGAACAAAATCCATGGAGAGACAATGCTCAGGTTTGTGAGCCTCGGCAGGTGCTTCTACTGGCAGCAGATAGCATTGACCATTGACTTCAAATCCATGTCCAACAAAGTAAAAGACGGCTAAATTTATAGCAAGTTACAATAATGTAACAAGATTGGAAGAAGCTACTCCATACCATAAACTCCATTTCCAAGAAGCTTTTTGTATTCTTTCAGAACAAACTTCATTTCGAGCAATGTCAGATCCGCAAGCGTGACGGTTTTATATTTGAGGTCCTAAAAATGAGACAAACTGCTGGTTTTTTGCACTGAGTTGAAAGTCCACACCTGTAAAGCTGTTGCTAATGTTTCCGCGTCGCAGTGAGGTGTCACCAACTTTGGCAAATGGTGATACATGCAATTACTGATAATTAGTGCTACTTTATCTGTTGCTAACAGCTCTTCCCCGTCGTACACTGTGACTGAAATCGGATAAAATTTTGGCAATAAAGCAATTATCTTTTAGAGCTATAAAGAGTAGCTGCAACGAATACCTGGCACAGTAGGTGCTTTTTCCTCTGTTGTATTCATACTAGCCATTATTTCTCGTAAATTCTCCAAGTTACCGGTACGACAACTATCACATCCTGAATTGGTTTTAAGTCACCATTATGTATCACTACATGAACCATTACGAGTTTTTAATAGACTGATATGGAGAACAAGAATCAATCTCAGTGGTTTCTTGTTAACTTAGGAAAACTCAT